TTTTTTTTTTTTTTTTGTAAAAATAAAATACTAATAGAATATGGTGAAGATATTTTATTATGTCATGAAATTTATAATTAAATTAATTGACATTGTGAAATAGCGAATTAAAGAATTTAGAATTAATTGGAAGAAATATAGTTCTTAATTCGATCAAATTTCACATTCAAAATTGTTACTATTAAAAATTCAGACATTTCATACGTCACAATTTTCCTAGTATATTTTATTCTAAACAAAACATTCACATTTTATTGCGGATAGAATATTCTTTACTCTCAGTTTTAACTACGAATTAATATAGACATTGTTGTCCTAAATATTCTCGTGCGAACCAAATTCTCGCGATAATTTACAAATAACTAGAGAGAATCGTGGAATACTTTATAAACCCACCGAATAAAAATAATCGCCTTCCTTTTGTACGTACATTTTATTCTATTTTTTCTCAAAATCTTCTGAAATTCAACTCTTAACCTGTTCTCTTTCGTATTTATCATCAGGAACTTAAACGAACGTTAGATTCGATCCGGATCAAGTCCAGTCCGAAGAAAGACTTTAATACATCCCGACGTTGCCTCTGCTTCAGATAAAATCTAAAACCTAATTTGCGAGCGTCACAGTTGTCGATCGCTCGCTTCTAATTTTTCAATCCTCGCGACGTGACTTTTCAATGGATCCGCGCGCTCTTTCGTTCCTCCTCGTCTCGCGTCGGAAAGCCACTTTCCTCTTGTGTAATCCCGTTTTCTGTCTTTCCACGTCCCTTTCGAGTCCCCTAGCTCGATCTTCTCTCGCCCCACCGTCTCGTCACTCGGCCAGTTTCATCGCGGAACACCTTTACGAGCACCAGTACGGATCTTTAGGTTCCTCCTGGGAATCGATTGCGATTTCACGTGTGTACTTGCGCTGACCAACGAGTACGGTCATCGATTGGAATCTCGACTAGGTACATCCATGTTACGCGCGATATTGCATTATCGATATGAATGACAAATATTTCTTGACAAACTACTAGTATGTAGAACTATCAAAAGGTCGTGTCGATCCAAAATCAACAGTTTTAATTTTTTTTTCTTTTTTTTTTTAACTGAAAAGAACTGGAAATTTCCAAGAATACTCCTCCTTTTTTATATAGATACATTTTTTTTTATCCATTAGTTGATGCAGCTTAACAGTCTATTGACTAAAAAAGAGTCTATTGACTCACGTATTTAAGTTTGAATTTTTACCATTTTTGAGGAGAAATTGTTTACTTTTATTTCTTCACGAAAATTTCGAAATAAATATCCTAGTTGAAATTTCACACTGTATTTTCTGTTGGAGATCCAGATGTAATCATATTTTAAACAGCTTCATCGCTTTAGTCTGTCTGCTTTAACAAATTTAACAGACATATTAATATCATCGAATCTTAATTTAACTTGTGAAACTTTTCGGTAATTCTATCACGCTCTCACAGAGATCAGAAAATTAAATTTTCAGAGATTCAATT